TTTTTTCACATCATGTCTCCTGCCTGGATCTGTTATTATCTCACTCTGAAGCACAGAGGAGTGTCAGAGGTGAGCTCGTTTCAACTAATTTTTACGACGTGGTCTCATTTCTGGACTGTGAATGAAGCCGATATTTCAGTTAAAATACATAAGTAAAAATATTTATCTGAGTATAGTACTACCCCCCGACTTTATTGATAATTTTATGGATTAAATTTTACGTATTATACTTGAATAAATATGGTAAATCAAAATTTTTTTTACCCAGCCCTAGTCTTTAGTGATGTTTGTTCGGCTGCATATTTTAGAYGTTTCAAGTTTAAGAAATCTTTATTGGCCATTTTACTGAAGGACAAATATAAAACTACAACTCAGGTCAGCCCCAATAAAGGTTAGTGCAAACCAAAAAACACCACAAAACAAAGAAAACTGAAGTTACACCAGACCTTCAAGTTTTTTCAGAAACAAAACACGTTAATAAATAGTTAAGACCAAAACATAAAAGAAGTCAGTCACATAAACCTCAAGAACAAAAAGGCAGAAGCACCACCAAAACAATAGGATAGAGAAGTTTACAGTTTAAACTTCAAGAGAAGATGAATTAGTAAATACATAAAAAAGACAAAACATCAATTTAACACTTTGCCCAGAAGGTAAAAACACAGTTTTTCTATCAAATCCCACTGGTCAGAGTTTATTTCTGAGCACAATAAAAAGAAAAGGAGGTTTTGCATGAGGTTGGGAGTCTCCAGCCAACATTTGACTGCAGCAGAGAAAGTCTGTAGCAGTCCTGCTCTGGTACAGGCTCATTAATGGATTGCCTTCGCTGCTTTATCTTTACTCACACAGACCTGATACTGGCGTTTATTCAAATCAAACAGTGTTCGGCCTCTCCTTAGCTATCAGCAACACAAACATCTGCAGTCCGGCAGGTTTGCATACAAGTCAGGAGAACCATTGAAGGAAGTGAGGAACAACAGTTTTCATAACTCAAACTGAAATGTGTAGAATTTGAAGGATTGTGTAACAAAAAAACAACATATCACATCAAAGTGAATACAAAGATGTACAGCAGTTTGAAGCAAAAACATTTGTTAAAGAGTCATAAAAATAACCTATCAGCCAGTAATGAAACTTAAAACATTTACAACATCTAAGCTTTAGAATAAAAGAATAAACAGGAGATGGAAAATAAACTTTTACAGTTTTCATTTACACTCACCCTTCTAAGATTTGGTTGATTGTAGGACAGAAATGATTAAGATAATGTGTAATGAGCTGTTTAGCCATTTAAATTTATGACTTTCCCTTTAGCTTCTTACAGCCAAAATGGAAATAAGGACTCATCCTAATGCTGCCCGTCAACAAACGCTGACAAACTATTTTTAGGCTTTTATCCATTTCTGCAAGGCTTTGAATGTGACCTGTCATAAAGCACCTTAATGACTTCAAATAAACAAAATAACTTTGATTTTTATCTGTTGATTTACAGAGGATTTAAAAAATTGAATGGATCAAATCACGTTTCCTAAAATGTAGAAAACAAAAACTTAGTTTTGTGGGTTTGGGTGTTTTCTTGTTGGACAGTCTGACYTTGTATAGTGACTCTTGGTCAAAAACAGATGAAACACTTATTGAAATATATTTTAGCTATGCTCACATAGCACAAAAACCATTGATATATATAATACTGGGTTGAGCGTGGCTAGCGTGTWGCTAGCTACRTGGACGTGCACGCACTGGAGCTCTGTTCTGCACTGAGGAGCTTCAACAAAATGAATGGAGGTCAATGGACTGGAGGTGTCTTCCTGATGAAAAACTCTTACAACTTCCTTATTTCTTGATCGATTTTTACAAACTATGGTTCAAAATAAAGCTGATGAAATTTTGAATTTTATAGTTATGGAAATTTAAGATAGATAACCAATTTAAATGACTAAAACAGTGGCTTAAACTGAGTATTTTGTGTTTCACAGGTGTTTTTTTCATACAAATCAATGAGTTCTGACCAGCTGGATATTCATATATAAATTTATTAATCAGAACTGAGTCTTAGATATTTAAAATAAAATTATTTTTTCAGGTGTGTGTGTATTCTTACTGTGTGTATATACAACTATAAATTTTTTTGCAGTAAGCAATTTTAACATCAGTAAAAACAAACCAAAAATACAAATTACTTCATGTCACAAAGAATTGCTTAATGAATTTATTTTTATCAAAGAATTATTCTTCAGTTTTATAATGATGCAGGTTGTATCTGACCCACAGCTGGCACATGTTTTTTTCCTTTTTCTCTGGAAATGTTGAAAAACACAAATACTGGATGTAGAAAATATCTGAATAAACTGACCTGTCTTTACGTGACTATTTTTGTTTACGATGCTCAATCATTACATTAGTGTCTGTCTTTAGTGGGTCTACATCATAATTTCTGAATTATTATTCAGTCTAACTG